TTATAGCCTGAACTTAATTTAATCATGATTTTAACACTGAATTTTGAGGCAATAATGAAAAGGACATGCTACTCTCTTTTCAGAAGGAAATATTTCAAAAATGTCTCCTAAGTCACTATCTTTATCTTAAGAGCTATTTTTAAGTAAAGATATTTTAACACTCGACATGAGAATAATAGCAAAAATGACAATAATAGACAGAAACTCTAAACCGTTTACTACTAAAATCAAATTTATATCATTTAAACATAGATGCGGTTATTAAAAAAAACTTTTTTTAACATCTTGTCATATGTTGAAATGACAATAATTTTTCATTCCCTCCTTCCATTCCCCTTCCCCCTCCTCTCAGTATCCTCATAACCTTCAAAGTCTGCTTCTTCTTCTTTTTCCTTTTTAATAGCAGTCTTGTGTAATATTTATCTTTATGAGATTGACTATCTTTGCTTATCACAGTATCTTCCAAATTCATTTATGATGTGAAGTGTTTGGCAATTTAATAATAGCTTTTTATAGAGGTATAATATTCCATTTAAGGTATGCACCAAAAAGTATTCTTCCTTTTCTCTACATAGGGGCACGTTTGTTTCCATTTTTTGGTTGCTATTTTGCATATTGCTGTGATAGACATAGGCATGCATATAACTGTTCATGTTTTATTCTTCTGAAGGGTATGGTGTACACAGTGTAGAGAGATAATTGGGTCATATGGTATTTATGTTCATGCTTGTTTAAGGAAGCAATATATTGTTTCCCATAGTGGCTGTGCAATTCTGTAATCTGAGCAGCAGTAGATGATTGTTATAATCTCCCCATATACCCTCCAGCCCTTGTTATTTTCTGATTTTTAGAAATTGTCCTATCACCGCAGGTGTGAGGTAGTGTCTCACTGTTGGTCTTAGTATGCATTTCTCTTAACCGCTAATGATCACAAATAGTTACTTATAGGATTGAAGATCATCTGTATGTCAATTTTAGTGAATTGTCTATCCGTGTGTACCCCCCATCTTTTTTATCGCTGGCTTTTCTTATTGAGGTTTTGAATTGTTCTAAACATTTTCAGGATTTTCTATTAGTTCAATGTATCGCTGACATGTTGGGGGTTCTCAATCTGTGGGTTATCCTCTTATTGTCATAAGGAACTTTAAGTGTACATTAGTGTTGTGTTTTTAGGAGGTCTCATTCCTGCAATCAGGGTGTTTTCCACTATGTTTCATAGTGTGTTACTCCTTGTAGAAGGGCTCTTACGTTTGTATTTGTCTGTTCATTAATGACATTGGTAGTTCTAGGCTTAGTTTTACACCTT